AGATTAGATATGAGGAAGAAATTCTTTCTTGTGAGGGTGATGAGACACTGGCACAGGTTGCCCAGAGAAGCTGTGGCTGCCCCTTCCCTGGCAGTGTTCAAGGCCAGGTTGGACGGGGCTTTGACCAACCTGGGCTAGTGGAAGGTGTCCCTGCCCATGGCAGGGGGTTGGAACTAGATGATCTTTAAGGTCCTTTCCAATCCAAAACATTCTATGACTCTATGTTTAGCAAAAGTTTGCATCTGGTGGTACTAAGTAGTTACAAGATTAGTACAGTTAGATTCAGAGTAGTTAAGACTGAGTCCAGCAGGCATTTTTGGCAGCTAACTGCCAAGTATAAAGTATCTCCATTAAAGACAGATAACTGATGTTACCTCACAGTGGTTACCTAGATGGATGTTTCCAGTATACATGTTAGAAAAAGATACTCCACTAAACAACAAATGAGTTAAAACATCTCAGAGAAAGCAGAAATAAAATATATTTTATGTAAGAATCTACAAATAAGGGAAAACTTGGGTCAAAAGAAAATCGAACAACACTCTTGGACAATAATTGGCCTTTGGAATCTAAATTTATGGTCTGTCATAATAGCTACATGAGTTGGTACTGCTGGAGAAAATAACTTCTGATACTGCATGGCTTTGAGGAGATTAATCTCAAAATCTGATGCTTACATCAACTTCTTTAATGGAAAAGGTACTAGCAGGAAAGCAATAAAAAAATCTGCAGCAATATAACATAAGAATTTATTACCTGATACAGAAAACCAAATATAAAAGAGACTGTGTAAATGATGTCCTGAACCAAAAGAAGCTCTTGACAGCAGTAGCATATAACACATTTGCACAGCTCAAGTTCTGCCATGCAGATTCAGTTTTTGAGTTTTCAAAGTCTGATAGAATTTACATTTTTTCCTTCAGCTTGGGTGGTCAGATACAAACTCTTAGTTCCATCCACTAGGATCAACAGATAAAAAGAGGTTCATCTCTTTGAATTAGACTAATGAAAGTATCTGGAACAGATGACAAAATACCCAGGTGTATCTTTTCTATCATTTGTGTATTGAAGGGGACAGAGTCTTTCGGAAAGGTTGACAGTAGTAGCTTACAAGACTTCTGTGGAGAAAAGCTGACATTTTGAAAGGCACAGAGTTTAGTATCACCAGAAGAATGAAATCTGCAGGGACCCTGGTTTTCTTACCACAGAAAGTTTCTGTACATCTTAACTGTTTAGATAATTTCTCTCCCAAGGTTAGAAATAAGTTAGGACAAAAAATCCACTAAATATTGCTAGAAAGGCCAAAAGCACAGAAACTAGCTCTACCAAACAAATTATCTCCTGATATAACATTACTTCTTAGCACACTTGAGCCTATGCTTGAGAGCAAGCCCTAAGAAGTGCAGAAAACCTTATTCTGCCTTGTAGCATTCCTCTAATGTAAATCGTTCTGATCTCCACCTTTTCTTTTGCTCCTAAGCTGCAGGCTACTCATGAAAAAGTCATATTTTTCTGAAGAGAGTGAAACAGAATCTGCCTAACACGTATGTAACTATATTCCCTGCTGTAACTTCCAACATGCACCCTCACATCTCTTTCCAGGGCTAAGGTACTTACTCTTCATATAGCTTTAGCTGTGCTGCTCCACACTGTGCTGCCTCTGCTTACCTCCTAGCCAGGAGCGCTGCACCAAGCCCTGTCTGAGGGCTTACTCCCTGCTTCCCAGCCACTCTAGAGCTCAGGAGAAAGTGCTGCCAGGACATCAGTGGCATGGAGACCAACAGCATCTCAGACACACATCTGAGAAGCATGCTAGGACTTGCATACTGTCCTGTGTCATACCCTGTATCCCATTTACATCTGCTCAAATGCTCAAGTCAATAAAGGCTGACATTTCCAGGAAAGCAGATTTTTTTCTGTGTCCTGTGAAAAATAAACCCTTGAAATACAGGCTGGCAAAGCCACACACAGCCACTGTGCCTCTACAAATAAAGAATTTCTCTGACAGATTGCCCAGTCCTAGAAACTTTGGAGACACATCAGGTCTCTACAGACAATCACCACCAAATGGAAGTCACTGCTATTGCCACTGGCACTAGCTTCTGCTCCCACTTAGCAGTATAGAGGACTTGGTTTTGTGCCTGTATGGCTGTAGATACTTGAATCCTTACCTGATACCTTCTTTTGTTCTCCAGCTGCAGCCTAAGTGTAAGCACAATTGTTGCCTTATCATGTCTTTTATGTATGTGAGTGGACTAATTTCTTCTGCTAGAGAAGTGAGGAACATACACAAGGCTTTTAAAGGAAGGCTGGGAAAGCTCACAGACCTTTTCTTCACCCAAATACCTAAACCCGAGTCCTTAAATATTGCATACTTCTTTTATCCAGTTGCTTTAAAAAAATAATTACAGCTGTTACAACATTTGGATCAACTTTTGATCTTGGAGAACAATGATAATAAAAAGTGATTATAGAATACAGTACTGCTACAATGTATCTGTTGTCTTCTATCTGTGTATCTTATCAACTGTGGGTGTAGAATTGTTATTCAGATTTTACAAATAACGAGCTGGAAGTTGAATAAGGCTAAGTGATTCCCCCCAACATTCAGGAACAGAAATCATGTCTTCTGATCCCCATCTACAGCTCTAGCTGCTCTGTACCTTCTCTCTCATGACTTCCACAACATAAACCTATATAACAGTATCATGACATCATCAGTTTTGCCATTAGATTTGATGATACAGGGGTCATGAATCTTGATGCTGTCTCAGTGTGACACAGCACAGGCAAGAAACGTCTGTGGATCTGCAGTGATTTGTGTTACAGTGTGTCACAAACATTACTTGAAAACAGTGAACATAAATTTCCAAGTTACAAAACCAGCTGAAATGATGTGACAGAAATAATGCCAGACAATTAAGCAATTTTTTATCCACATGGAAGCAACTTCCAAAATGTACTGATAAAAAACCACTATAATTTAAAAGGCAAATAAGAAAGACTCCATGGAGGATGAAAATTTCTTTGGGAAAGGTCACTTAAGTCATAATGTTTACACCATTAAAAATTTTTCCTTGGCATGTTGCTATGTATCTCCCTCAATTTATGACACACACACCCCTCTCCATTTATCAGATGTCTCTAAATGTATCACAGAACAAGCTAAGCATCCTACAGCAACCAAAGCACTGGTTTCCCAGTACCAGTGTGAGGTAAGGAGATGGGTACCAAGACAGAGAGAATCTTCTCCTCAACTTTTTCTTCTGAAGTCCAATACTAAGTACCACTGAAACCCCTGGAAAAACTGCTACCAAAAGATTGCCTAGAATCCAGGCATAACAATGCTCAATTGCCTCTGCAGTAAAGCCCAAGCAGCATTTTCAATATGGCACACGAGATCTGTGGTTGAGCAGAAAACTGAATGTAGATCTCTCACTCTCCCTCAGCTTGAGCGATGTCTAACTGAAGATGTTCTACTCTGATCTGCAGTCCACAGAATCCAATGATCCCAGTGTGCACAAGTAAGTCAAGAAAGATTGTGCCCAAAATATAGCTTAATCGTCTCCCTCAGGGGTCCTCATATCAAATCAGCTGGTAATCCTGGAAGAATCATCAGGATTTTTCATTATAATTAGCGTGCATTAAAAGATAAGCAAGATGGTGCCTGAATTTTATATGTGATCCAAATGTTTTGGATGTAGAAATGCCTTAAGAGAAATGGAGCAAAACCTCTGCTGATATAAATGGACACAGCTACCCTAAACTGAGTTTTCAGTGTAAAACCTGCCCTATGAAGAAGTTACGTTCTCCTTCACACTGTACTGGGTTCCACAAGTTACATGTTGCTAGATAATAACATATCTGGTACAATGTAGTTTGGTCCTTTCTCTAGAAGTGAGCTTGCACCTAACCAGCAGTGGGACATTTCCACAGCACAGGCCTTGCATGCCTGCAGTGTAGTGCACTTACACCTAAATGCTAGCACGGCTGACTACAGGGACCAAGGGGCTGTCCCTGCCAGCCTCACATACTCGAGTGCAATGAGTGTGCCCCTGGCCACACATGGCTATGGCTGTGCAGCACCCTTATCCATACCCCTCTGGATCTAACCCTGGCTAAGCTAGGTTTAGCATCATTAGGTTAACAGTGGGGATGTAGCCACAGCAGCCAGGTGCTCCAAAATCCCTGCAGGCAGCAAGTTCTGCTGAGTTCATGGTGAGGCTGAAGTGAGCCACCTTAAAGTCAGATCAAATACAGCCAAATAGATCTATACTGTGCTGCAGCTCCAGCTGCAGAGCAGACATAACTGGTGTCAGTTCTGCTATGAGCATGATCTACAAGCATCAAAGAAAAAGAATTGTTTATAGTGCCTCAGCAAGAACAGTCTCAAAAATAAAAGCAAAAGAAATGCAAAATGGTTTAGATGGTGCTTAAGTTACTCAATATGCATTATTCCTAAATGTCTCCTGTTCCTGGCAGACTGAACAAACGTGAACAACTGAATTACTTTCTGTTCCACTGTTCCCTATCTTTAAAATTAAAATAATATATTTACTCTCCAATGTAAGGTGGCTTAAGACTGATGAACAAAAAGAATTCTTGACTGATGGAGTATTATTACAAAGATTTAACCACCAACACTGGTATGGATCCAGCTCGGAGGTACTTCACTCTTCTGGATTCTGGAACTTCAGAACATCACATTCAATTTAAATGAAATCACAGGCATAGAGACTCCCATTCTCTCTCATGAAAGAACTGGGGAAAAAAAAAACAACCAACCAAACAAAAAAAAACCACAACAAAAAAACCCCAACAGTATGGGGACAGAAATTTTATTCACAGCTGTCATAAGTGATTGCCAACCAGCAGATAGCAGTCCATGTTGAGATAAACATAAATATGTTGGTAAAATACAAATCTGTTTCTGCTGAGAGTGTTTTCTTAAGAAGAAATACACCCAAGAACTTAGCAATACATCTACAGTATTTTCTTACCTCAACTAATATGAAGCATGGCGATGTCATGTAGCTTCTCTGAGACTCATGCCTGCTGTTTGAAATCATGTTCACCTGTGAATGAAACATATCGTGTCCCTCTGTCAGAAGCTAGCATTGTTCAGAATAATATGCCCACAGCAGACTATAAAAGGCCTGCTTAAAACACAGATTTGTACCAAAATAAGAAATAGTGAAAATTGCAACAGTGAAGAGTTCATATACACTCCTTTATTCCAGCATGAAAGAGCTTCAAGTTACTTTAGATTTTACTACTTTGTTAAATTGATTCCAGCCATTTTTGTTCTAAATAACAGTATCTAACAAAGATTTTTACTTAAAATTCTTTTAATTATATCCCTGCAGACTTTAACAAAACAAATCATTTGTCACTTTTCAGTAGAGCTTTTCTAATTCTATTGGCTTCAAAATAACTTAAGCATGTTCTTAAGAGTTTATACAAGAGGGCTTTGCTGAAGGGGCATTAGTTGAAGGTTTAAAAGTTTTAAAAATTAAAATTGTAATCTACCAAGCTTCTACAGAAGCATGGGAACGCAGGACTAGAAAGAACTACCAAGCTGTGAAGTTGTGTCTTGCAATCACAGGACAGTAGATTTCTGGTTCTGAAGGATCCACAGAATATTTATTCATGACACCATGGCTACAAAAACTTTCCTAGTCCCTTTCAAAAAAATTAAGATTTGTTGTTAAAAATAAAACAAACCAAAAAAGCAATAGCCTCCTGGAAGAAACACCTGAACTACTAATCTCTGTCATAGGAAACAGAGCAGAAAACAATGCACTGTGAATGTAACGATCCTAGGAATAAGCCCATGACTGGTATAGTAAATTGACTATAATCTCCAGAGGAATTAGCACCTTCAGGAGTTAGAAAACTTCTAAATGCTGGGCAGCCCCTCTAGATTGCTTTCCTCTTCCTTAAAAAAAAACCCAAAGCACAATACTTTTGCTTTGATTATTTAATTTTTAAAACTCTATAGTTTTAAAAGCTTCTCTCTGGGCTCTTCCTAAAAGATACTGATATAGTCCTTTAGCCCTGTTCTGTTTTCCTCAGCTATGCCCCTTCCTGTTCTTCACTGCTGTCTCATCATTCACTCCTTTTTTTTAGTTTCTCCCTCCAGTCTTCTTGTGTTGCCCCTCCAGTTTTTCTTTATCCTTTTCACATACTCCCTTTTCCTCATTCAGCTTTTCTCATGTAGCACATCTTCCAACATCTTGCATCTCCTTCTCTTCCAGGGCCTCCCAAACCCATCTTTGATTCCCTTTCTTTCTCTGATGCTGTAAGCTGTAGCTGACTTTTCTCTTTCTCTCCTGTGCCCTGCCTGTGTATGTGCATATTTCATAGAGGGCTTGTGGCTCAACAGTCCAGGAGGCAGCACACTAAAGTGAAGAGAAAGCAGATGCTTCCACGCCCTAGCAGAAAAACAAACTCTGGTGTGTGTGTGTGTGTGTGTGTATGTGTGTGTGTGTGTGTGTGTGCAGCCTGGTTCCCAGCAACTGAGCATCTTTGATGCCCTCCTCCCCTTGTGAAGGTGGCTGAGGGAGTCTGACACTGTGCCTCCCTCCGAATCATGAGAAATGAGGAAACCATGAGACTTGTGCATGCACCTGCTGGGATGTCCCTGGGAGCTATGAGCTTTTCAGCTAGGATCCTGTCACTCTGGGCACTTTTAGCCCAGTCTTTGGTGCTATCAACCACAGCAGTGGTTATCTGCCTTCAGCTTCTGTTTACCCAAAGCAATGAACAAGAAAATGCTTCATAAGCAAGCAGTATGGCATATGTTCTTGAAATCTCTCACAGATTGTTAAAGGATTAACTCATTTATCAAACAAATAGAAAATCTGCTGTTGATCAATTTACTTGTATGCATCCAGGGCCAAACTCTGTTGTTCATATTCTATTTGAATCCTCATTCAAGCAAAAGTCCCAGAGACTCCTTAACACTCAGTTATACAGTTACATAACACAACCATTAATGTTGCATACGGAAATGTGCATGCACAGCTACTGCACATTGGGTCTACAGGCTCAACACCAATATAACAGTTATTTATTATTTATTGAGAGCTAATGGTACACTGAAGAAAAGAGAACAAGCTCTGAGCATTAAGGACCAATATATATGGCTGCTCTTCAGCTGTTACCTCAAGAACAAAAGGATTCACCTTCTCCAGCATAGCATCACAGGAGAGACATGCTCTTGTTAATGTTGCATAAGTACTGCAGATAGGTGCCTGCCAATCTCTAAAGCTCTCAGTGCACCAAAATGGGGATGAACTGTAGAGCCTGAGGTGTGTCCCAGAATTTTCTTTTCCATAACATGGAGATGGACACTGGTTAGAGCCTGTTTTACACAGAATAAAAACATACCATATGTGAAATTGCCTCTCCAGAGGTTGCTGCTATGAGTTTGGAGGATGATGAGTGAGCCTGAATGAGGCATCAAGAAGCCATCTGTGAGGGCATGGCTGAAATGTTACAAGCAAGCATCCTTATAAATAGCTCTTGGTAAAGAACTAGTTCTGTTTTAGTAACATGAAGTCTTTTTATGTAACTAGTTACTAGGCAGCCTATGATACAGTTTCTCTGGCAGTACCCCACTGTATGTGTTAGGCAGTCTGCCTCCCTCCAGCTGCTGTTCTGGGGGTATGCCTAACATCAGCCTACAGGATCACTCTCCAGACAAGCCTACCCCTGCCACATGACATCACCAATCTGCCTCACTGCTAGACTAGGCAGTCATGTTCACATCTGTGCTCTCTGTGGTTTTGGAAGACAGATTGCAAGAACACACCTCCAGGAGGAGCTCTGGACAACAGCGTTTGACAGTGGTTGGTTATGAGCCACAGGTGAATTTCAAACTTGACAGCTGTAGGCTGAACATCCTCAGTTTATACAGTTGTCACAAACATGCTGTCAGTGTTTCTGATCCCATTTGGATCAAAATCCATTCAATTTACAAGAAGCCTCAGCACTGCTCCTCAACATGAGAGAACTGCATTCATGTTTCTAGGGGGGGTGGGTTTTTTAACTTTTAGCTACCATGTAAAGAGGGTAGTAGTTTGGCAGCAAAACTATGGCCAAAACTGTAGAATATTTTTACAAAAAACAATCACTGTCCTGCATTTTGCTGGGAAATAAATACTACAGGCAATTTCTAGGCATGCCTACTGGCTCAGATACTTCAGGTTCACAGGAAGACCTCCTCTTTGGATGTGACAACAGCAATGAGCTCTGGGAAACCCTAAACAACTTGTAATGTAAAAAAATATGCCCAGAGTTTAAGCACTTCCAACATTACTCAGAAACAGAAGAGGAAGTACTTGGGCTCACAGCTTGAATATGACTTCAAGTGATTACTTAATACCACATCTCTGCCAGAGCCACAAAATGATCTCAAATATACTTAGTTTTGAAAGGGAGTCCCCTAATCTTCTCACTATTTTGCTACTTGCATTATCCACAGTTGCCATTGGTATGACTGTCTTCTGGCACGTCACTTTTTTAGTGAAAGCCAGGGTGAAGGCAATTTGAGAGCTTGTTGCTGCCCCTCTTCCATAGCTTGTTATACAAGTGCCAAGCAAGACACTACTGTATCATTACAAGATATCTGTTTCCCTGTAACTTAGGCTTCAGCTAGAAATACAAATGGTATATTTTATTTCATTTGTGTCTTTCCATTTATGGGTGAAGTTCACCTACACCAAGGAAAAAGTACTTATCAATAATTCAGGAGATGTAAAGATATGCTCTGAACTAAAAAAAATCTACTAAAATGCAAATAAAGCTCACTAGAACTATTTGTAGCACTTATACTCCCCAGTGTGGTAAAAATGTAGTGGCTTGACAGAAGGTGAACAGAGAATGTGTCTGGAGAATGTTGAATTTGACAAGAAAACAGGAAAATAAGGTCACTGTGCTATGAGGAAAACAAATCTTCATGATAGGAAACCATTTTTACATGCCAAATCTATACAGTCTTCATAGAGGTAACAGAGAATGGAGAAGATGATAACATTTTAATGATGAAAAAGAGAAAGAAAAACAATTAAAATACTTTCCTCTGAGATACTGACATCTATATCATCTGTATCATTTGTATTGCTCTATTTGTCATCATTATCTATAAGAAAGGAGAATGTGCTTCATGAATGTAAAGCATGAGAACTTAGAGTCTGAGGGCTAAAGGATATTTATATACAGTTTGCTCATTTTTCACAAGATGAACCACTGGGGAGTCTCTGGAAGGTCTAGATTCTCTGCCCAGGTTAATAATCAACACACTGCAACACAAAAATTGGTCTGGGCATGGCAGGACAGTCCAAAATTTTCTCCTAGTTCTTGTACCAACTAGTTAGTGAACTAGTTAGTTGTGAAGGTGGCTAAGAATTCAGTCAACCATTTCATCTCAAGTTAGTTCACTGTTTCAAATTGTTCACTATTTTGTCTCTGCAGATGGTCAGACTGAGAGTTTCTGCACCACACAGTGGACTTGCCTTGATGAGCATAAGGGCACAACCCTGATATCCAGCTACACAAGAATTATAGTTACAGAGCAAACTTGAGGAATTTCATCCTTACAACTTAAATTTCATAGCTCTTGTCACCACTGAACTTCTTTGGGGTAAAAAACCCTGCTTTTAAAAGTTAATTTTTACAGTAGTTGATACTCTACTCATAAAAAATATTGTTAGTGAAGATTTTCCTTTTTATTTTTACCTATGTTCCAGCTACCTCTCTGCTCCATGCATATGCACAGAGACAGCTGCTATTTCAAACTCTACTCAGGCTTTCACAGATAGTGATGTCTCTGTTCTTATATCAGAAAGAATTCTTACACGATCTAAAGCTTTAGCTTCTCTAAGGCTGGGAAAAATCATCAAAGAAAAATATTGTCATAACTTGAGCCATATTCATGGTTGAAATACTAAAATGTATATTCAGAACAATCTTCAGAAAAATACAGTTCATTATGTTTTCCTCATTTTCACACTATTCTTCCTCTTCCTCCATGAAGATTTCACTTACATTTTAAGGTTTGGTGCTGTAATTA